TATATGCATAGTACAGTCAAGACCCCAGCTGCTGCCCCTCACATGACAAACCCTTTTAGGCCATGAGACGCAACAGGGAACATGCATCCACGAATCTGCTCTAAGGAAGGTTTATTTTGAAGGTACAAGCCAGGGTTTCCCAAACTTGGGTCTCCAGCTGTTGTTGGACTACAACTCCCATGATCCCTAGCTAGCAGGCCCAGTGGTCCGGGATGATGGGAAATGTAGTCCGTAAACAGGTGGCGACTTAAGTTTGGGAAACGCTGGTATAGGCAGAAACAGTGAGTGTCTTCCCTTAGGTTATGTACATCCAAGTTTCCAATCAGTGGAAACAGATAGCCTCCAAAACATCCTAGTTTGACCTAGGAATCTAGCAAAAGAATTCTCAAAACAGTATTATATATCTCCTGTCACAGCAGGCCTACCAGCTTCCAAGACCCAATTCATTCAACAAGACCATTAGAGCATTTCATGGGAATGTGTAAGACACCAGGCCATTGCTTGTGCAAAAAGGCCCCAGCATTCTGGCAGGCAAATCCACTACCTTAAAGTATTCACTCTATGTGCCTGCTATAGACATATACATAACCTCTCTATTTTTATAAAGCTACACAATGTGGGAAGCTTCTGCACTGGGCTGGTCTAGGACCTTTACGTTTAGAAGTGAACCTCGTTGCAGCTGAATGTTTTATGTGTGTGTGTGCGCGCACACACACACACACACACTATGGGCCAATATTTCCAGGCTGCAAATACAAACCACCAAGCACCTACCCTCCAAAATGCAGGTACGCACTGAGCCTGCCGCACACTCACGTACGCACACACTGTTTGATGTCAACTCACCCAAAGGGATGCAAGCGAAAGCTCGAAGTGACAGGCTACACACAAAACATCAAACAAACAGAGGAACGCGTAGGAAGAATCACGCTGGCTTTTATTTTTAGCCCTTGTAGCCAAGACCAAATAAACTCAAAAAGACACTGGAAATGCCCCGGAAATGCCACAGATTTGCACGTTTCCTTTGGCAACTGCTAGATTTGCAGTCTTGCAACGATTCAGCTTTACAACCAACTTTGTCCTAGTGAGGACAGCCTAAAAGATTTAGGACCAGACACAGATATTAACGTTTCCAAATCTCTCAATCATGGTGGGGTGATCAGGAGACGTTAAGACCCCACAAAGCCAACGATTTGCTGGAGGATGCGCATTGAGTCTTCCAGCCAAATATACCTACACTAGCTTTCTTCAATGCACTCGGTATCTGATCCCTTGATCTGAAATAAAAAAAGCAACCAGCTTAGAGGAGAAGCAGAGTGGAAAGAATAGAAAGAATACGATCGTTATTTTCTAGAAGGAACAACGTGAGCAACAGCGAATTGCGAGGATGCAGGTGCAAGGATGAAGGTTAAAGGCACATTTCTGGTAATCCCTACCACCCAGAGGAATTCTCCATTTTCACGGTGCCATCTGCTACCGCTAACGCAATTGATTATCTGTCGCTCCCCACTGAGTCTAGTTCGGTCAAGTTAAGTTCTCCTTCCTAGCACAGATGATGTCTCTGGCCAAATGACTAAGACCAACCTGAACACATTCCAGTGCCTTCGAGAGAAAGCACTCGGAAGACAATTATTTATCCATGTCGGGGTGAAGCATCTTAAAGAGGACCTCACAAAGATTATGGTTGCCATGGGACTGTGGCTGGGAATGATGGAGATGAACACTAAGACACACTGTCTTAGCGGTGAAACGTTTGTGTGTGTGTCAAAGATTATTGTGGGCCTTTACGTCTTTAACAGAGTGGGGTGGGGACACCAAAGAACAGGTTCCAAATTGGGAGGCATTTTTAAAAGTCAGATGTTAAAACAAGCGACACTAGAGATATATTCCAAGTGACAGACACGGAGAGAGATGAAAATTTCATAAGGCAAGAACAGAGGGAGATGTTGCAATTACGCTACCTTGAGTGTAGCCTGTGACAGGCGGCAAGACATTTAGGAGCTATAAATATTGGCCCGATTAAAATCCAACTGCCGCCACCCCCCTCCTTTGCAGCCCCAGTAAAAAGTAGGCTGGAAGATGGAAAACTTAAGATAAAAATGAAACCTGTATGATAAATCCATCTGCTCCATAAAGCCTGCCACTTGGGGCAGGCGTTTGTGTGCTATATCAAGTTTGGCCCTGTAGACTGCTGGTTATTTAGACCAAAATCTTCTCTGGTGTATGGACCGTTAATAATGAGCCCACAGGTACTCAGGGGTACATCATGGGTGGGATCCAAAGTCAGCACAGAACGATGCAACGCGGTTGCTGACAGGAGTGAGGCCCTGTCAGCACATATCACCTCTTCTTAGAAATCAGCACTCCTTGCCGATTTGTTAGTGGGCCAAGTTCAAGGTGTTACTATTGGTATGGAAACCTTAATAGCTTGGGACCAGTTTGCTTTTGGGGTCAACCTTGCCCCATTTCTGCCCACTTGATCGCTTTGTGTTATAGAGCTGGCATTGTTACCACAGGTTCCATACTTGTAAGAAATCAATCTTTTAATGGGGCAGCACCTAAGCTTTGGAACTACTCACTGCCCATTGACAACAGGGAGGCAACTTCCCTACATTTGGCATCTGCTTAAAACCTGCTTAGGGACACGGGTGGTGCCCTGGGTTAAACCACAGAGCCTAGGACTTGCCGATCAGAAGGTCGGTGGTTCGAATCCCCGCGACGGGGTGAGCTCCTGTTGCTCGGTCCCTGCTCCTGCCAACCTAGCAGTTCGAAAGCAAGTAGATAAATAGGTACCGCTCTGGCGGGAAGGTAAATGGCATTTCTGTGTGCTGCTCTGGTTCGCCAGAAGCGGCTTAGTCATGCTGGCCACATGACCCGGAAGCTGTATGCTGGCTCCCTCGGCCAATAAAGAGAGATGAGCGCCGCAACCCCAGAGTCGGTCACGACTGGACCTAATGGTCAGGGGTCCCTTTACCTTTACCTTTTTAAAACGTTTTAGTTTAGGCAAGCCTATCCAGACACATGGATGTTGGTGCATTTTAATCTTTTTTTTAAAAAAAATGTGAATTTTAATTATGTTTAAATGTTTTTAGTGATCATTTTATAGCAATCAAGGAGTTTGTACATTTTGTTAAATAAATAAATGCTAGGTCAGAGTACACCCTTTGCAATTAATAGACTGGCTATACTACTCTGAGTATAATAGACTAGCCAATACTCAGAAAATTAATAGACTAGCTATACAGTAGTACTCTTGAGTACAGTGGTACCTCAGTTTTCGGACGCCTCCATTGCCGAACGGTTCGGTTTTTGAACACTGAAAACCTGGAAGTAAATGCTTTCGTTTCTCGAACGCACCTCAGAAGTTGAACAGATTCCGCTGTGTGTATCTCATTTTTCACAATTTTCTCTATTGAACTGGCAGACCGCCCTTTGTGCCTCTGTTTTCAAATGTTCCGGAAGTCGAACAGTCTTCCGGAACGGATTACATTCGAAAACCAAGGTACCACTGTATAAATTAGTTGGTCCCCCAAAACATCGGGCTTGAATGTGTGTCCTCTGATCCACAAACACCTGATCTGCCACAAGCAGTCCTTTTCAATCTAGACAAACATTGTAGGTCTCTCCACTGAGTTGTGCTTCCTTCACATTTCGTTTATTGCTAACGGAACCATGTGCTGCTCTCATTCCAGCATGATTGGCAAAGAAGAAGAAAAATAATAATGTACCAACTGGATTTCTGTCATTCCTTTGAAATCTCAAAAGATGAGTCCCAGTCTCAAAAACCAAGGAACTGAGGGCTCGTGATGTTCTCTCTTAGATCACTGATAAGGGAGATCTCAATTTTCATCAAGGATGTGGCATGAGCCCTGCGGATCTCCAGATGACAATACGAAGTCAAAGAGACTGTGTGACCAAAACAAAACCTGAAGATTCCCATGCATGCTTTGAAACCCGGGGTCAGGGGCATGCTGGGAATGGACCATAATCCCTGAACTCCCAGCTTGCTTTTCATCGTTTCAAGGCCATTTGTAGAACCTGAGCTAGGACACAAAAATGTCTCCCATTTTTGCTTTTTTGAGAGGAATAGTCTGCTCCCACTTTCAGCAGTCTCTACTCCCTTCACCCCCCCACATACAAAGGAAGGAAAAAATCCAATGGACCTCCACTCAGTAGCATGAAGTACCTCTGACCAAGTTTCCTGGCAGTGTTCAAAAATTAAAAACCAAACCAGTATCCCTACAGCCAATGGCAACAGGTCCAAGAATTAAGGCACTCCGCAAGAAACAAAACTTAAAATGTACTGACCCTAGGGAGAACAAGTGCTGGTATTCCGAACACACTCTGTTGCAACGCATGATCGGTGGGAACTTTCAAGTATAACTTCAAGGAAGGAAAACTCGTTCTCTCTTGAAGAAAACCAGCCAATGAAAAGCTACTGGGCATTATTTCACATTTTGCATTTCAGTTCAGAGTTAGTTTTACACACACAAAAAGTTTGTTGAGACACATTTGAAATGCTTTGAAACAATGTATTTCATTTTTTTAAAAAACCCAGCTAGTACACCCCCTTCTAAACCTTGGAACCACAAGAAGAAGAATTTCAATTTGAATGGATTAGACAGAGCATCTGCTCCCTTCACAGATGGCTCTCAGATCGAAAGGAAAGGTAACCTTATGTGGAGTCAGAAGACTGGTCACTCTGGAGCGCCATAATTTTAGGGCTGGAAGCTATGACTTCAGAAAATGGGGTGGGGAGAGGGGGAAAAGAAGGAAGAGGTAAACTCATCAACTAATTATGTGACCAAGACAGATTGAGAACGCCAAACAGCTTGGAAATTCTCATTGCCTCAACACTTGAGAAATTTGCAATAGGATTTCAACTGAATGGGCAGTCACACAAAATTTGCTGGAATGTAAATGGAGGCAGAGAGGAGATACCGAAAGAAGGTAGGGAAGGCCACACACAAACGCACACACCGCTTTTGCTTTCTGCTTACCTGTCAGCTTTCAACAGCAAATTAGATGGCAGCTCTGTAAGCAGGTTGTGTTGCACGTCCAAGACCTCGACATGCGTCCGTTCGATCCTTTCTGGTAGCCTGGCTAATTGATTGTGTCCTGCGAGCAACTTCCGCAAGCTGATATTGCAAAATAACCTGGGGGGTGGGGGTGGAGAAAGGAATAAACATTAAATGAAACAATACCAAGACCTGTGGTACAGTCCTCTCAGGGCCTCTTCATGGACCAGAAGCCTAGGCACAGCATCCACTTTCTGGTTAAACTAACCACGGTGTGTCATAACACTCGAACAAGAAATGGTTAGTTTAAACTATGGTTTGCTGAAACACAATAGCCTGGTTCAGATGTAACATTAAACCGTGGTTTGGCATCACAGAAAGCAGCCTCAGGCCTGCACAATTCCCCCTCCTCTCCCTTCCTTGCAACAACGCCAGAAGCGAGAGGAAGTATTTGCTTTGTCATTGTGTCTGAACTAGGCCAAACTGTGGTTAGTTTAAACTATTCTTTCTTGAAATGACCCAAAACCTTAGTTACTGATCTGAGTTTGTTCTGAAACTTAAAAACACTTTAGGCACACCCCTCAAAATATAATACAGTAGTCAAGAGAGCTAGTACTCTGTGAGGAAACCATAGTTTGTGGCTGTGTGATGTGCGAAACACTTCTCATACACAACCTCTGAGCAGCGCCACTTGTTTGAAAGTGCTGTTTGGTCAAAGTCTCTTTCCTTGTGGGGGGGAAAAACCACCCAAGGAGAATCAGTTCCTAAAATATTGCTCATCCAATATTTTCCCTCAACCAAAAATGACTCAACATCTTTTCATATTCTTCCTCTCCTCATCCAAATACTTCCCCTCCCCTCCTTCTCCCTCCCCCTTTTTAATACTAGACTAACGTAAAGCTTCCTTCCAGTTCTACAGGGAATGAAATTTATCTAATCCGCTTTACTGTCTTGAGCTTTTTACATGCTAGGGGCGGCCAACCGTTCTGTTTCCACACAGAGAAGGGGGAGGCAGATAAAGAGAGAGATGCTTTATAAGACACATTAATGGGCAATGTGGCTTCTGAAAAGCCAATTGAACTTAACAAATTTAGAGCTGGAAATCGAAACCACACCATGAATCTGCATTTTTTAAAGTTCCCAAGCTCCGATTTTGAATCAGGTGGTCTTTTGAGGGGTGGGGAGGGATATATCTTGCGGAAGATGGGAGATTATTCTCGTCTGCCACCTGCCTTGTTCTTCTCCCTGTGGCTGCATCTGTACGTTTTAATCAGAAGGCGCCCATGCCCCACGGTTGACCCTTCTTTCAATCAAAGATTCGCAAATTACTCAGCACTGCAGATGCCTCCTCCACCTGTTTACGTATTAGAAAAGACACACACACACATCCCAAGCCCTCCTCCTCACCAAAACCCATGCCTTTTCGCACTTCTCCCTTACAAATCGAATCCACCCACTGTCATCATCAGGCCACAAACTACAGGTCACCGGGGCCAGCGTGCCAAAGCAATCAATAAAAGACATTGTTTTCCCTTGGTGGATGCTGTCAGATAATCTGCGCAAGTGCCATCGTTCGCAGTTATCTCAGGATGACAACTGGGCTGCATCGCACAGCTGTGGACGTAAGTCAACAACCTCCACTTCACTTGTTAAAGACAGCGCACGAGTGGGTGTGGTTGCTGAGTTTGTTGCTCTCTCTCACTTTCTCTTGGTAGCGTGCCCAATCTAGCACTGAAACAAATGTTTGTGCGCTTTCCCTTTTAATGCACTGTTGGGAATTTGCTGGAGCTTAACTTGAAGGAGGGGGGTTGTATCTCTCTTGCCTGCAGAGTTGTCAACAGCATAAACTTTAGTCATTTGGGGGGGGGGATGGCAGGCAGCAAAACTATAGGAGCCTGTTGTTAAGCTGTAGAGAAGACCACTTTATGAATCAGCTCTTTATGGAGCAAGGGGACAAGGCTGCTGCTATGCTCACGGCTGCAATTAAAGAACCTTCATCAGTAAAGTATGTAAAAATCAAGAAGCCTTGTTTAACGCTCGCAGGAAGCATTAAAAAAAGATGACTATGACTGCACCCCAAAGTGTGTGTGTGTGTGTGCGCGCGTTTATAACTTCGCTCTTACACCTTTGTGCTTTGTATATTTGTGCAGAGGGACTACAGTTCATTGGAAGAACACATGCTTCCCATGAAGAACTTTTTGGGTTCAATCTCTGGCCTTTCTAGCAGATGATGAAGAAGACCTCTTCTGCCTGAGACCCTGGAGCTGCTGCCCATCGGAGGATACGTGGGCAAGATGGACCAGTGGCCAGCCTTGTGCATAAGGCGGCTTCACATGCTGAGATGAAAATAGTATCTGCTATTCTAGTAAGCAGAAATTATTCAGAACTGCCCAAGCACCCACACCCTAAAGCTTAGTCAACTCTGCGTGTCTCCCCCCTCTTTTACAATCACTGTGCGAACTCAACTCACTACTCCAAGTTTATTTTGCTTGGTTAACAAGGACAGCTCTTACCCCTTAGAAAAAGTCTTGGAAGCATGTGAGCAATACCTGGTGAAAACTCGGAAGGCCAGGGAAGTGGAAGCAGCTAGTGTTCTTTATTTGACCAACAGAAACCCAACAAATTGCATAAACTATGCCAGCCTTCCCTAAGCTAGTCGTTGGACTCCTAGCTCCAAACATCATCATCACCACCATTATTTATTAGATTTGTAAACATTTCCTGGCCACTGGTCATGCCGATGGGAGCTGGACTTTGACAGCATCTGGAAGTCACCAGTTTGGGGAAGCCGGGTCTAAGCAAATGTATGCAGAGATGCTGGGCCAGCTATAAAATAAAAATGGTCCCTGAATTTTAAAACTGTGGTTTTAGATCATTCAAAGTCCTTCCAGTTCAAGCAACTGCTGCCACAGTCATAACAAAAACCACCAAAGAGTGCAAAGTGTTCGTACATACTGGAAACCGAACCAAGGTAACATTAGCTGTACTCCTTAGTGATTATAAGTGATAATCCAAAACATTTAAACAATACCATACCCCCCCCACAAGGCCTTTAACCTAATGCTTCCCATCTTGCCTTTTCCAGCCTTGAATCCACATTTTCCTCTCTAAAAACCATTTGCGTTTTCTCATCTCTACTTTTTCAACATGTTTACACACGAAGCGCTTTGGTACTAAATCCTCTGGGTGATGACCAGTTGGCTCCATCTGCCATCCAATCCTTTTTTAAAAACACTGTTAGGTGTTAGAGCTGGGAGATATCTGGTTTTCAGCTTTAAACATCGTGATTAAACTGATATATCACAATGTCTGAAATAAAGATGGAGCTATGCAGAGACACTGGCTGGCTTCACTGTTTTCCCCACGGTGTGATTTTTGCATAGCGCACACACACACACACATTTTGATTCACAATCTATTGCCTGCTCAAAAACTATGAAACTGATGTCACAAGATGGACTTCAAACAGGTTTTGGACGATATAACCGCTATATCGCCCAGGCCTGTTAGATGTGTTTTTCTTTGTTTGTTTGTTTGTTTGGTGGAGGTGTGGCAGAGATTCTGTTTACGCCATGTAGCCACAGGGCAGGTTCCTAGGAAACTGCCTCATACCAGGTGAGACTATTTGCTCATCTAGTTCAGTTGTGTTGACACCAAACAGCAGTGGATTTCATGGCTTTCAATCCCTCCTAGCCCTACCAGAAGATTCTGTAGATCCTCTACCATTAAGCCATGGTCCCTTATTCCATTCACACCCTTGAGATTCGAAAGGTTTTTGACTACTGAGAAGAACTACTTTAACATTTATTTAAGGAGCCAGGCAACACGATGCTGAACAGCCTTAGAACGTCTGTCTGCAAATTAAAGAAGTTGGGTGTTTTGTTTTTGTCCGGATTAAAGAGAAGAAGAAGAAGAAGAAGAAGAAGAAGAAGAAGAAGAAGAAGAAGAAGAAGAAGAAGAGAGGCTGTGTTGCAGCTTACAACACAATGGCACCCTGTGAGGTTGAAAAACATCAAACAGAAGGCAAAAACAAAATACCCGTCCAACTGTAACCGAAACAAGCTAAACACTGACTCCGCAATTGTTTCTAAATTGTGCGTCCTGTTCCTACTTGTGTAACTATGTCTGCAAGACTCACCGGGCAGGCAGTTCACATATTTGATTGTGGCCCAGATCCAGAACTTCCAGCTTCCTGCTATCGCAGACCCATTCAGGAAGGCTCTCAAGGTGGTTTCTGCACAAGGGAGGCAACAAACGAACAGGTTAAGAGGTATGGAAAAACTAGCATATGTGTTTTAAACCAGGATAGGCAATGCAATGAAATGTTTGGGGCTGCAAATGCAACTTGTCCAACACTGGGCCAGACACAATCATCTGTTGTTTCAACCCAGTCACTCATCTTGGAATGGAGTTCGCCACACAAATCAAGGTTTCCACAATTCTCAACCCGATATCTGCAAAATGACGTCATGCCGTTCAACAACAAGAGCTTATTGTTGATCGTGAGCATCACAGGTGCATCTAACAGTAACATGCGGCAATAGCGCTTTGCTTTGCTTGGTAGCAGGAAGCAAAAGCAAATGAACACTGTAGAAAACGCTAATAGCAACTGGAACAGTAGCACTGTGCTTCCTTTCAAAAATGTAGCTTTTCTTACACGCTCGCCTATGTTTCCATTGTATATATTTAGGATTTGCCGGTGCACTTTTTTGAATGCTCATTAAATTTAGTGCAGCCAACTGGAGGCAGCCAGATGTTGCTAGACTCCAACAACCAGCAGCTCCAGCAGTCAGCATGGCCAACGTTCAGGGATGATGTGAACTGCAATCTAACAACCTCTGGAGGGTCCTACATCAACTGGTCCTGCACTTATAGATCAATCTTGTCTTCAAAGATTTTTTACAGCACGAGTGTGTGTACCAAAATTCCAAACCACTCTGCACAGAAACTTCCAAGATGGCATTTTCACAGGAACTAGAGTTTAGACAAAGGAAACAGAATCAGTGGCCATTCAACCAGATTCAGGAGAACTCCCAAAAACCGTATTCCTTCATTACCAATATTTACTCTACAAATGAAAGTTTGTGCCCACAAATACATCCTGCTGTATGGATCTCTTTTTCTTTGGTGGGTTTTAAATAAGGCAACAGAGCAGGATGTTTAGCTATTTTCTTATTCAGCCCAGGGGAAGTTTACACAAAATGCTGGCTTGCAGCTCTGTCCTGCTCTGTCCTTTACACTATCAACAGTGCTTTGCTTATAGTGAACTGAGTACATTTCCAGTAGAATACCAGCTTGGAAAATAAGGGGATTTTTTTAAAAAAGGCTTTACTCGTCCCTAACACAGCTTTAAGCTGAAACGTATTTGCAGGAAGACAAATAGTGCATCATTCACATTTTGGGGTTGTGCAATAAATGCCACGTTAATCAAAGATATAAGAAAAGAAAGTGAATATATAATCTTGTTATGAAAACAAGCTGTCAACATAGCTAGCCTCAGATATTGGGAAGTCAAATATTCCTCATTATGATGACTTGTGGAAATAACGGTGGGGGGGAGGACACACTGATTTTTCTAATAAATTACTTATCCATGCGCACATACTGATGAGATTCTGGCACGCAAATACATTGACTCATGCACTTGTATGCTTCAAGTCACTGGCAGCACCCTCAGGCAACACCCTTGTCTCTTTGGTGCTCTTGTTTAGACAAAACAGTCGCTTCACTCTTTAGGACAACTCAAGGTCTGGTGCTCTTTTTAAAACAAAAAAACAAAACAAACCACCCACAACAATGCTCAAAAACGCAAATGACCTCCTCTGCTTAGAATCATGTTGTTTTAATCCTAGTGTGCAGGCTCTTGCAGGCATCAGAAACAGCATCACATGCATGGAATCGGAAAACTTTTCTCTTTTTTTAATCTAGCTGTGTTGGTGTAAGTGCCCTCAGCGGATGTTCCACAGGAGGGAAGGGAGACAGAGGTACCAAGCAAAACCAAAGCACATGAGTACGCAATGGGAGTGAATCTTCCTGTCCCCACAGATTTGTTTTAACAACCCTAGGGTCATACATTATTGTTTGTAAGGGGATTTCCCTCAGCGCTACAGATTAACCCAGGCATGGGCAAACTCGGCCCTCCAGATGTTTTGGGACTACAACTCCCACCATCCCTAGCTAACAGGACCAGTGGTGATGATTTAAATCACCAGACCTCAGAATGAACACATCGATTTGTAGAAGTCATCTTCACAACGAGGAATAAATGGAGTCTTGACATTCCAACACACATTTTGACAGATCAATTAAAATAAATAAAATTTTAATTTTAAGTGAATAAAATTCTAGCGCGTGCGTGCATCCACACAGCAGCTAAATGGGGGGTGGGGGGAGATTCCCTTCTTCCAACCTCTCTGAGGGATGACGTAGACGGAAAATTAACCAAAGTCCAGAGACCAGCAGCAGGCTGTGGGATTTTAAAATGGGTTTCAGAACGCCACAGCCTTTTTTCAACTTAGGTTGGCAACCGTTACATGTAATGCCAAACTACAGTAGAAGATGGAAGCAGGGAGGAGAGAATAAATAAGGAAAGCTCATGCAAACTAATGGATCAATCCTGAACAGTAACGCTAGCTACTTGTGTGTCTCTACCAGCCCTCTTAGCAAGGCTACAGTAATTTTTGTTTCAGCCATGCTAGCACCGTGTTTTCAAAAAGGTATATTAGGGCTTACCTAGAAACATCCATGTAAGTCAGATAGTTTGGAACAGGATACACATCAAGGTGAACAAGTTCTGTGAAAGGAACACAATTAATATATACCAGAAACAAAGCAAAATTAGCATTGAAAATAATGCACTACTTCCTATTTCCCAGGTTTGCTGTTTCCCCATCATGCAAGTTGCACATCACACACAGTAAGGAATATTTAATATGGCTTAAAGGGATCTTCAATAGACAGAGTATAGTGGTACCTTGTTTCTCAAACTCAATCCATTCCGGGAGTCCATTTGACTCTTGAAACTGTTCAAAAACCAAGGCACGGCTTCCGATTGCCTGCAGGAGCTTCCTGCACTCAAGCAGAAGCTGCATCAGACATTTGGCTTCTGAAAAACGTTCGCAAACTGGAACACTTACTTCCAGGTTTGTGGCGTTCAGGAGCCAAGCTGTTCGAGTACCAAGGTACCACTGTACACCAGATAGTGGTTTCTTCCATTTCTCCTTAGCTTTCAACAGACATAGTTATGTTATTTAGGAAAGTTTTCCTCCTGCTGCTACTTCCTAAAATGCAGTCTCAAATCGGTTCTGGGATCTGAACTGCAAGTCCAGTAAGTTACAAAATCTGAGAGCCCAAGGAATATTTTTATCCGCAGAACTAAGACATTCTTAAGGTTTGATTTGTGTGCTTGTGATGCACCACTTCAGACTGCCAGGACACCACACACCATCCACACAGAAAAACATCCACATCAATAGTTAAATCCTCTTCCCAACGTCTAGTATTCTGCAGGGAGGAATTTTTCACTTTTCATGGTATAGAGCAGCATTCAATCACCGACCAACCCTGTCTGCAGTGATACAACCCAGACATAGGTTCATCTCCTGAGCGAGAACTAGGCTTATGGTAAATCAATGATTCCTCACCCAATCATTTCCCAAGGCTATTCTTCACACAGCATCACCAGCAGGACTTCATTGCACTGCCATTTGTTTGTAGACAAGAAGTCTATCCTAACACCCTCTTGACCTTACATTAAATCCTTCAACTCATGATTAGCAGCCATATCCATTTTTATGCACAGAACTAACAAAGCCTAATCCTACAATTACAACGTTCATCAGTCCAGGAATCCATTGAAACAATGGTGTGGCAATGCTTGGATTTTGGTGCCAATTTCTGAAACCCGTGTCACAGCTCAACTATAATGGTTATGCACAGGGGGAATTTAGGGCAGTCTTTTCTCTCTCTTTTTAATCAAAAAGGGCTAAGAGGTTACACAACAAACCAATCACCATGAACTTAGGGCCTATCTGCAGTCCAGAGGTGGGAGACGGCAGAAGAAAGAACGGAGCTACTGCTGCCTGTTGGTAACTCACTGAGCTCAGCTGCCTACTTCAATCAATTCTTCAGTGCTTCCAGCAGAGAGAGAGAAGACCTCAAGGTCCGATGCTCAGCAGAAACAGCTTTATGCAAAAGACAGTTGTGCAAATCCACTTTATTTGCATAATTTATACAAGTGGACTTTTTTTGGCCTGAGGGTTGTTCTCGCTGCAGAAAATGCTTAGCCCACTCTGAAAACCAGAGCAAGGGACAACAGGCTTTCCTGTTACATGTGTCATGATGAAGTCCAAAGGAAACTAAAAAAAGAAATGATACAACAAAGAGGCATGTGGCACCTTAAGAACTAAAAATGTTAATATGACATAAGCATTCGTCAGTCGGATGGGGTGTGACCCTCAGTTTTCAGGCAGAGTGTGTGTATATATATATGTACACACAAGTTCACGCAGGTGTTAAGGGGGGAGAAATGTTAAAGGTTAGAGATAAACGGCAACGGAATGTGAAAATAATGCATGCTAAATGGTCCTTCCCAGCAGCAGTAAGTGGTGGCAACACAACCATCACAGAATTGTTGCATAAATTAACACCAATGTAAAAGGTAAAGGTAAAGGGCCCCCTGACCATTAGGTCTAGTCGTGACCGACTCTGGGGTTGCAGCGCTCATCTCACTTTACTGGCTGAGGGAGCCGGTGTACACCTTCCGGGTCATGTGGCCAGCATGACTAAGCCGCTTCTGGCAAACCAGAGCAGCGCACGGAAACACCATTTACCTTCCCACCGGAGCGGTACCTATTTATCTACTTGCACTTTGACGTGTTTTCGAACTGCTAGGTTGGCAGGAGCAGGGACTGAGCAACGGGAGCTCACCCAGTCGCAGGGATTCAAACCGCCAACCTTCTGATCGGCAAGCCCTAGGCTCTGTGGTTTAACCCACAGCGCCACCCACGTCCCAACACCAATGTAGGGAAGCCAAAAACCTGAAATTTTGCAGTAGGCGTCAGACAGGCAGCAGGCTTTGGACTGAAATTATCGGTTACCTATGGTATGTTGTCATCTTCACAGAAAGTCAAGGCCAATCACTCCAGTATTTCAGTAACATTTATGTGAGGTAAGATGAATGCCTAAAATGCACAGTATGAATGCATTATTATTCATTTCTGACTGACACTGGCATAGTGGTCCTCTAAATGGTTTGTATTGTGCTTGTGCGCTAGGGGCTGGATGAATCCTGAACCTAAACACGGCATGCAAATCCACTGTAAGACGAGCAGACCAGAAAACACCTAGTCCTTGTCTGAACTGCCTTCAAAGCAAACTTACCATTTGAAGTGGCGTAAAGAGCTTTAAGCAAATATCCGCTGATTTTGAGGCTGACCAGCTGGTTTCTTTCACAGTGCAGTATTTCAACGTTGTTGAAGATGGTGGCGTCGAGTTCGCCTAGTTTATTGTCCCGAAGATCGAGCTGGGTGACGTGATGTAGGAAATCAGCGCCGTCCGCCACCAACCTCCTAATGACATTTAACCTGGAGTAAGAGAGGGAGGAAAAGAATTATGCTGTTGATGGGCGTATGTCAGCAAGAGGTTGGAAAGCTGAAGTTTTGGCTCTAAAACTATCATTTTCTCAGTGTCCCAAGCAATAATAAAATACAAGCCCAAGATCTGGTGCTCAAATGGGCCCTGTTTTTATGAAAAGCTCATAGTGACTCACATGGAGGTCCCCAATGGTCTCCCTTCCAACGTTTAGTTCTAAGTAACGCTACATCTTCAAGCACTCCCCAGGTCATACACTAGACCCTTTTGCTGAAAATCTTGGAACCCACCACCGATAGGTTGTGAGGCAAACAGCAGGAAGTGCTCCCAAGTATCTGTCCCTCATTTCGCTGAGTCATCAGAGGATGCTGAGAGATAGCTCAGTTGGTAGAGCACGAGACTCTTAATTTCAGGGTCAAGGGTTTGAGCCCCACGGTGGGTGAAGGATTCCTGTATTGCAAGGAGTTGGAATAAATGATCCTTGTGGGCCATTCCAACTCTGCATAAACTGGCAGGTTGCATTTTTATCATCATTTTTGCAGTTTTGCTACTGGAGAGTGTGCCTATGCAAAATGAAGCTTGATACTGCTCTGATTAGTTCTGAAATGGTTGCAGCCAAAGTGGGGTCCCGTTCAACTTAACCATATGCATCCTTCTTGCAATCAGGACGTACGCTGAATAATCCCAGCCAATGAAAACATGCATTTTCCAAAGTGCAGCGAACATCAACATTCACATACGAACGTCAACAATCCCAGATCACTTTACCACTGTCAACATGAATTGATGGCGTATGACTGACAAAGAGGGAGATACACACCAGTGTATGTGACAACTCTTACTTTAAGTGGATGTTAGTACTTGGTGCATTTCTGAGATTTTGCTTATACACAAAATTCTTCTGGGATTGCAGGTGCTCAAATGGGAATGCGACATTCCCCAGACTTAGGACTTCCACTATAATATATGAATACTTTCATATACTAAAGCACTGCTTGGAATTCCTCAGAGGATAAAAAAGTGGGGAAGAGGGGTTGATAAACATGAAGCTCTGCACATATTCCAAGTTCTCCATTTGGGCACGGCATTATAATAAAAGTTTACATCCCACCCAAATCCCAACACTTGACAATGGTGATGTGATCCAATAGGTCAGTATTTTATATTTGGGGTGGGTCACCCAAACCAATACATGCACATATTATAAATCATGGCAGGTCGAGAGAACTTGTCCTGCCCAGTCCTTGACTTGCTGCAGAAACAAAGGTGATCTATAAAAAGCAGCCACCTGTACAATTTCATTGCACTCTGAAGAGTTCAGTTTTATTTTCAGTGCTGAGCTGACAAGATCGATTAAATCACACAATCAGTAGAATGCTTTGGGGGGGCAATGAAAGCTCTGGAAGGACCAGGACTGCACTTCTTTCTTTTTTTAAGTGCTCTCATCCCTAGATTACACCATATGCCATCTTCTAGCATGCATAAGTTAACTCCTCAACCTGCTCTAACCACTTAACCCATTAAAACACAGGCATCTCCCTGCAGCTGTATTTGGAATTATCAGGCAATGGCCAAAACCTATGAGCATTTTAAGAATTTTGTATGATATGTACATTGTTTTAAATGTTGTATTTTTTAAATAAAAGAAAATTCTATTCAGTTTGGATGGGGCGGAGAGAAGAGAAGGCCCCACCCATCAGCAGATGTCATTGGTGACATCAGTTGATGGGTAAAGGGGCATGGTTTAGGGGAAATGGCCTCATGGGCCAAACCAGACCTTTTGGCAGGCCAAAACTGGCCCACAGGTCCTACCCCTGAGGTAAGGGATTGAATCCCTCACATACAAGGTCAAGAGTATTTGCATGAGGATGAGAAATTACCGTATTTTTTGCTCTATAAGACGCACCAGACCACAAGACGCACCTAGTTTTTGGAGGAGGAAAACAAGAAAAAAAATATTCTGAATCTCAGAAGCCAGAACAGCAAGAGGGATCGCTGCGCAGTGAAAGCAGCAACCCCTCTTGCTGTTCTGGCTTCTGGGATAGTTGCGCAGCCTGCATTCGCTCCATAAGGACACACATTTCCCCTTACTTTTTAGGAGGGAAAAAGTGAGTCTTATAGAGCAAAAAATACGGTATTTCTGGTTGGTTAAAACAGTTCATTTCTCGATTTTGCAGGCTAATGTAATAATATGACAACTAAACACTGCCAAGCCTACATTTATTGTATAGGAAGTCACTCTTAATTTGATCGCTTGTGTGAAAAAAGAAGCAGAGATATTTAACAAACATCACCCCTAGCACTAAATGCCCTTGCTCGAAAGTTCAGCATCTGCATATGAAATTTGTGACCAGTCATAGCCAATATCTTGAAACGATGCGGACAGCCATCTTCACTCTTGAGCTTCACCCGTTCTCTCGCAAGGTTACGTACCTTAGATCTACATGTTTGATGTGTGGCATTCTGTTCAGCGCCTGCAAGCAGAGCGTTTCCATGCAGTTTCCAGACATACAGAGTTTGTCCATGGCAGGCAGCTTCTCTAACACCTCGGGAATGCCGCTGAACTCGTTGAAAGAAAGACCCAGGTAGTTAAGCTGGGGCATCCTTTCCAACTCAGCGGGAAGGCTCTGGAGGAAGTTCCCATCCAACAAGAAGGTCTGTAAGCTATTGAAGAGAAGAGGTGGTTGTTAATAGCAGCATAACCCCCCGCCCCCCCCAAAAAACAACTCTTTATAAACATGTATTGCAGCAACTCCAAAGGACCTTCTGGCAGTTCCCCTGTTGTAAGAAGTGAGGTCACCCTGGATTTACAAATCAGTCCCCTGACAAAATCCTACCATTCCTATTAAAGTTGAAAAGTGTCCCCGGATTCATTGGAAAAAAATCTGGTAACCTTAGGTTACAGGGAACCAGGCAGAGGGCCTTCCTGGTAGTGGCACCCGCCCTGTGGAATGCCCTCCCATCAGATGTCAAACTGATAAACAACGACACGACTTTTAGGAGACATCTGAAGGCAGCCCTGTATCGGGAAGCTTCTAATGTGCGATGCTCTGTTGTGTTTTTGTATATCCTGTTGGAAGCCACCCAGAGTGGCTGGGGGAACTGAGTCAGATGGATGGAGCACAATCAATCAATATTATTGTTGTTGTTGTTGTTGTTGCCATATTCTGGACCCAAGTGAAGGTGCTAGTATACAAGAGTTTTTCACAGCTTAAGTCCTCTGTATGTGAAGAAGTGAGTAATACACAGGCACTTTTGCTGGCCGTTACAGATTTAGTTGTGCTTAGGCGTTTAGCACACACTTTTGCCATGACTCAGGCATCATTGACCCAGGCTAACCCTCTGGGAGGAGTCAGTGCACTCAGGGTTCATGCTGCCCTTGGCCATCTGTACCTACTTGTTCATATCACCGACGGCCGCTGGAATACTTCTGAGTGCATTGCAGGACACGTTGAGCTCAGTCAAGGTTGGAATGCTGCAGACTGCCAATGGGAACTCTCCTAAATGATTGTTGGAAAGGTTAAGGCTCCTCAGCTTACTGAACCTATGATTGGGGTGTGGGGGGAGAGAGGAGAGAAGGAGTAAAACAAAACAATAAATTGTGTATTAAATTAAGGCCATGTTATGCAGAAGAAATGAACTACCCATAGACTGTCACCAAGCGGCTGCTTAAGCCACACAAATTTATTTTCCGCAGCGCTAAGAAAACAATTAGCAATAAGATGCTGGAAGATCTTCAGTATTAATGGTATTCTCTACCAATGTGTTTCCTCAATGAGAAAAGGTGTAGACTTAGGAAGGGAAAATATAGTTGGGGGTGATCAAGGGGTTTGCAATAGTGTCCTTAAAACCCCAGGCGTTTACAATTAGAAACTCAGTCGCAGCTCAAATATGTCATACAAAGTAGGCAAGCTTGCAGAGTTTTAAATGCAGTTATTTGGATCTCTGTGCCTATCTTGCATCAGCAATAGTATAGCCATTGATCATGCCAGTAGTATAGCTGGTGCAAAACTGGAGACACACAAATTCAGAATTATTTCCCCCCAATTATTATTCTCTTAACTGGGAAAGGACGAATACTTGGGAGCAACCTTGACAAAGACTTCCTTGACAGTATGTACAGACACCTAAGGCAACACATCTCTGAGTCGAAATGGGTTTTTTTTGTTTTTTTTTGAAGGACAGAAATTTCTCCTGGTGTTTAGTATAAATCCTACTTTCCTGCAATTCAGCCTTATAGAAGTACCCTTAAAGGACTACAAAGGTGCTATTTATTTCAATATATACCATGATAAGTTGCCATTTGTATTTACCACCCCAAGTTCCAAAATGTTCTGGAAAGTGATCAGCCCTCAATAATTTTTGTTTTATCAGCAAACAAGCTGCACAGACAAACACCTTTTCTGAAGAGGGCAGCTGTGTTGCCCCTGCTGCAGAAAAAACTGCTAAGATTCTCATGGCACTGTAAACAAGCACCTAAAACCAAGAAATCAGCCATCTTCCCATTTGTGAAAGGTTGCATAGCTGGTCACATGGCGTTGATTTTTAATCACCAGAAAGTGGCGTTTACAAGCTTTCGTTTTAATGCCCTATGCTTCATTTATCCCAAAGTTTTGCTAAAAACCTGTTCAAAATTTTCCCAAGTTTCTGTCTGCAATCGTGAGAGCTTAGAAACTCATTCTATTTTAAAAATGCAATCTCAGTTTGTCACCATGTAGTGGCAGGATCTGTAATCTGAGAAATATTCCATGATCTGCAGCACAACCATAGTCTTGAAAATCCCTACACACACACACACACAGACACACAATGTTAACCAATTGTACTAAATTATAAGTCCCATGGGAGGTGTGTGGATTTAAGGGCTTTTTGAGCAGAAAATATGCACTGCGTCGCTTCGCTCTGTTTGTCTGTCATGACTTTACAATCAGACAGAAAATCCTCACCAGAAGCTTTCGAATTTCAGTAAAGCCAGCAAGTGAATCACTGTTAAGTTTTCAATTAGCAGCACTTGTCAGAAAGCAGTTTCTTGGCACCTTAATTAGACTTCTCTCACCCTGGGTAACTGCTCTTTAAAAAAGCAAACTAATTCCATAAGGGTTTTGTGTTGTTTTTTTTTTGGTTTTTTTAAAAGGCTTCCCTTGGAAAGGGGAAGTTATTCTTTAATTCCTCCTTGGTTATCCCAGCATCCCCAAAGCAGAACTTGCCCCTGAACTTAGGCCCATCTTGATTGCAAGAAAAAAGGGGAGGGGGGAAAACGTGAAGTGATTACTCAAGGAAGAAAGGGGACAATCCAAGTTACCAAGACTGCATGTGCAGCCACATTGTTCAGGTTGCCTAACAACAGGGAGTAGGGCGTGTGTGTGTGTGTGTGTGTGTGTGTGTGTGCGCGCCTGCAGGCAACCCGCTAAAGGTCTGAATGCAAAGATCTGTGTCAGCTTCAGATGGATGAGAGGAAGCTCTTTTCCTGACGAAGTTCACTAGAGGGCTTTGTTTTCCCTTCATTCAATCTCCTCTGGTGCATGATGGGAGTGAGGGAGAGTCATGGAATATACACACCCATAAGAACAGAGGCAATCACAGTATCCATCAAGCATCAAGTAAAGGGACCCCTGACCATTAGGTCCAGTCGTGGCCGACTCTGGGGTTGTGGCACTCATCTCGCTTTATTGGCCAAGGGAGCCGGCGTACAGCTTCCGGGTCATGTGGCCAGCATGACTAAGCCGCTTCTGGCGAACCAGAGCAGCGCACGGAAACACCATTTACCTTCCCGCTGGAGCGGTACCTATTTATCTACTTGCACTTTGACGTGCTTTTGAACTGCTAGGTTGGCAGGAGCAGGGACCGAGCAACGGGAGCTCACCCCGTCGCGGGGATTCAAACCGCCGACCTTCTGATCGGCAAGTCCTAGGCTCTGTGGTTTAACCCACAGTGCCACCCACGTCCCCAAGCATCAAGTACCACATCCCAAAAGCACCTGCAGTCAGAGGACTCCCCCAAGGATAGCATCCTTCCTCCCCACCCACCACCAACAGAACTAGGGCAAAAAATTCCTTGGAAAGAATGGAGCTCAGCACTGGTGACCGGGCTGATCCACAAAGTCCAGCTCAGGCATAACTGCTTAGATCAGCCACTGCTTATTAGTCAGAAAACAAGGGGCATTTTCTTAAAAAATAAAGAATTCCCAAAATGGTCCTGAGAACTTCTAGGGCTCACAAAATGTTGAAGCTATAGAATTTAGAAAACACTAGAATTAGCCATTATCTAAAGAGAGAACTGTCTGGGTGGTACTGAATGCTGAACTTTGCTGATGCCATTTGATGTGGTGAGAAGGTCAAACAAATGAAGAAACCAAAGCTAAATAGGTTGCCATTCCTTGATGACGAACATCAACACTCCAGCCATTTTTCCCACAGTCCCCCCCCCGTTATAGTAAAAATATCTAAACAGAAAATATTAGTGCATATTGTTACAAATATGAAAAAGTTTAGCTGTGACCCTGCCTACCCAAATGCTATTTGTATTCATACAATTTAATTATACCTAAAACGATGCACCACACATATTCCCAAAATGGGGGGGAAATGCATTTCCTCATAGAAACTCTTAATTGTTTGCTTATGCTCTCTTCCTTCTCCACACCTTACTGCTCCAAGTAAACTTCACTATAAATACTGCAGACCAGGTTCATTCAAACCAACTGTGCAACTGAGGACTCTCTACTGTCTCCCACATACTTGCCTACTTTAGTCTAGCCAGTATAATCCAGTTAATTACCAATTGACATACCTTTAGATAGTATCTTCAACTTAACCCAAAAGTAAATGTCCTGATTCCAAGGGCAAAAGGTAAGATGTACATTGGTGACCATTTCTTTCCCAAAAAAACTTCCACAAGCATACTCCATATGATAGTAATTTGCCCTGAGGTTCAGAGCAACACCAGCATAAATGTGGTTTGGTTTTATTATTACACTTATTAAACGTGAGAAGGGTTCGGTATTTTGGGGGGGGGGGATACTTTTAAAATAGTTGTCGTCGTTCAGTCGTGTCCAATTCTTCGTGACCCCATGGACCAGAGCACGAATAGTACTCAAATCAAAGTATGACATATTTCATTCTGAAATATCTGGCCTTATCATTACAGTGGTCCCTTGGTTTACGAACTTAAGCCCATTCTTAAACCAAAGCGTTCTTAAACCAAGGCGTGCTTTCCCATAGCAGCAGGGGACTCAATTTACAAATGGAACACACTCAACAGGAAGCGGAACATGTTCTGCTTCCAAGGCAAAGTTCACAAACCAAAACACCTACTTCCAGGTTTGCGGCATTCTTAATCCAAGTTGTTCATAAACTAAGCTGTTCTTAAACCAAGGTACCACTGTACTCTAAAATCTAAGCTCCATCTTTGTTTCATCTCTCTCATACCTGCTCATAAACAAGAGGCCCTAAAATTTTTGGGAGTAATCCCTTCATTGTGAGAACTGCACCGAGGATTCTTTTTTTTACAGATTTGTTACCTCGCAATTCACTTCATAAGGTCTTATTCACTGGCCGAAGCATTGTCTCATTTCAAAGAAGGGTAATAAAGGAGGTCTGTCCGACTCCCACACGAGTTGTCCACCCTGCGCAGGGCAGTGACGCCCTCTATTCTACCACACTGAATTCATGCCTCTCTCACGTGCTAAAAATTTCCAGTGTCAAGTTTATCTGGAGAATTTTTTTTCTTTCACCTTTCCCCAACCTGAAAGAAGAGCTGTTACAATAGGATTGTTCTTTTCATCACAAACATTTCTCTTTTGAACCATAAAAGGGCCTGTAATGGAATTCCTCCACAACTCTGCTCTAAATCTCAAGCCAACTTGCATGGGGTGCCCATGAAACACGCCAATATAGCTACCATCTGAGCTGCATAGTCGTAAACTGAGATTTTAGGATTATCCATTCCTCCATTTTCCGATACAAAAGAATCACCCAAGATACCGCTGAACAACGACCAGCGTTTATGAAGCTTCTAAATTTATATTGCCAACGTGTCAGTGTATTCACGTATAAAAAGTGAGGGTAAGTTAAAACGAAAAGGGAGTGAAGACTCCATTCGTGGTAAGAAACATCTTAACAGCCACAATATGAGCTTCCCAAGTTTCTTAATGAACAAAATTTAGACAAAGCTGTAGCTCTGCCTTGCATTCAGAAGGTCCCTAGATTCATCTTCTGTCATCTCCAGGAATAAAAGCGTCTCCCCAGTTATGAAGGGGTTACGTTCCTGGGTACCGTGTGTATATGTGAAACAGTGCATAGTGGGGAACACCATCTAAAAAGCCTGTAAATACTTCTCTAAACCTCTGAAAAGCCACAACCGCTCCCTCCAAACCTCCTTTCTCAAAAACTCCAACTATCCACAGGCCTCAAAGGTCAGTGCAAAGGCTCATGGGATCGCAGTTGCAAAGGCTCCTGGGACTGCTGGCCGTTTTCCTGCTCTTTTGTACCCTTTTGCTGCACTTTTCAGGCCCTCTTTGTGCCTTTCGGCAGTTTAAATCGGATTATTTAATTTATTTCCCGGCGTTGCACAATATACAGTCATGTGCGACTCAAACACATGCAGGTAGAGAGACACCTGTATCTGCTCTCTGAAATGCTGGAGAGCTGCCGAAATTCTGTGAGCTAGATAAATCAACTGTGTAAGGCTTATCAGGTTTTTTTCATTGTAGTACTTGGGGAGTTCCCTATGAACTACAATGAAAAAAACTGATATTTTAGGTTTTTCCAGCCATTCTGACCAGCAAATACAGAACAGCCAAGACATTCAATTTTGAGTCATGCAAAAAGAAAAGTGCTATTGTTATGTCTCAATAAGTCACTAAAATGGATTGGTCAAGGGCCTCCATTTGCTTCTGGAAGGAATCAGAAGTCTGAATGGTCTGGCGGATCTGCCCATCACCATGCATACGGTCAACTGCTGATAGCTTGCTGGTGGTCCTTACTGTGGGCCACACATGCAGCTAACCATAAAGGTGGTTCTCACACAGTATAGTGCTACGAACAGACTCTCAACAAGGAGAGGCCAGCGGGCAAGTTCAATTTGTGACATGGGTTGAGAGGCAAAATTACAAGGCCACTCTAATTCTCCATGGAAAAGTTCCACGGGAAGTTAATTGTGTTGTTTAAAAAGCACGCTTCCCTCAAAATTAGAGGCTAACGTGTCTCCATAGCCTGCCTTCCCTGTAAACTTTCCATTTGGAATGTTCTACTAAAAAGTAGGTTGGTTCGCTTGCCAACCTAGCAGTTCGAAAGCACCCCCGGGTGCAAGTAGATAAATAGGGACCGCTTACTAGCGGGAAGGTAAACGGTGTTTCCGTGTGCGGCTCTGGCTCGCCAAAGCAGCGATGTCACGCTGGCCATGTGACCCGGAAGTGTCTCCGGACAGTGCTGGCCCCCGGCCTCTTGAGTGAGATGGGCACACAACCCTAGAGTCTGTCAAGACTGGCCCGTACGGGCAGGGGTACACCTTTACCTTTACTAAAAAAAGAGTTCGGTGTGGCGGGTGAAACTTGCTAATCCAAGGATTGTCAGTGCGATGACTGTCAGCCCACATGTGCCCTCTGATGCCTTCTCTAGTGCTCACAGAACCCGCCCCTTGTTGGAATTAGGCTTGAAAGAAGCATGCTCCATTTGCAATGTGTGCATGGCTGCAGTGTTTGTGGTGCCCGCAACAGCTTCTCCACTTTGCAAAGTATGCCATAAAGTTTGGCTAACATTTTACTTTGCCTGCTAAGGACCAAGGCTATTTACGCCTTGCAACCAAGGCATTCACGCAATCACACCATGTTTTAAGACATGTAGAATGTTTTTGAGCGGATCATCAACCTTGCCAAATGGAAAAGCTCAGCTCAATCTTGCTTGCATGATTGAAGGATACAGGCGCCACAATCCATTCTACTCTTGATATTTCAACATGGGCTCCCTATCGGTCTCTCGCGGCACAGGCCACTGCTACGCTGCATATTAACCTGAGTGAGATTTCCCCCAATGCAGCAGGGTTATGCTTACCCAGAGATAATGCCCAAGGGATATAATGTACCTCACACACAGCAACAAAGGCCTAATTGCTTTCTTTTCAAAGCAGACAAATGGCCGCAGATGAGAGATCAAACCAGGAGCGCGTCCAAATCGCAAGCGTTTTGCTCAACAGATAATAGAACTTTTGTGCTCTCCACAAGGAGAGTCTAAAAGATAAGAGAGAATGGGCAGATTCAAGAGGGACTTTATTAATGCAAATAATATGAACCGAATATGAACTGTCTATATTGAGGCAGACCACTGGTACCTTTAGGTCAGTATTTTCTACTCTACAATGACTGGCAGTGGTCCTTCAGGATTTCAGATGGCAGAGATCCCCACCCTTTTATGGTTTTGTGCAAACTGGTTCTCAGAAATGCTGTCAAGCACATACAGGGGCGATAAGCTCCCCAGTGTACATTTCACAGGAGGGTTCCGCCGCACGTACAGGGAAGACACACGGTCTTAGAGTTAAACTGTGAATATCACAGCAAAGGAGGCTCTCTCCTGGCTGCATGAGGGGAAAGGTCAGAGAATGCCGGCCCTGGGGGATATTTTATACATGGACCGATTACATACTCCAGCCAGAACACACTGCTCAACACACCCCTTCCTTGGAAAAAAGGGGAAAGGAATTTTTGCTGATAAGCAGCCACAGCACAAACCGGCACCCGATAACCAGCGAGTGACAAGACACGACTGTTATCGTTGAATGAAGCCGCTGGAAACCGATAGTTCTAAGAATCACTCGGAATTATACTGAGAATTCCAATGGAATTCTGCCGGGTCACATTTGGGGAGGCCAAAGGCACGTCTCTGTTCATGAAGGTGTTTTGTTTGACGGAGCAGCTGCTGGTTTGGTGGCTGTTCTGGCTTGAAATCTTGACAGTTTTTTACTATCATTTTTATTTGTTTTAATTGCTAGTAATGGCCGCAAGAACCTTGTAGTCGACCGGTGGGGGTATGGCAGGAGATATAAGATCAAATGGGCTTGCGACTTATCCCCAACCAAAGTACTGCTGTTCAGGATAGCAGGAAGCCAGACCTGCCCTCCTCTAAGGTAATATTGAGCCAATAAGAGGCAAGTTCATTCTTCCTCCTCCCCAACCCAGTTTCTGATCTTTTTCCCAAATGGACCCTCAGCATTCTGTAGTTATTGGGAGTCATGGAGCATGCTCATTACCTAAGGCTTTTGCCTCTAATCCTTTCAACACCCAACCACCCAATTTCACCATTAGAGGAAATATTATTATTTTTAACTGAAACAAATCCATAAACAAAACCATACTATGCTGAACTGAGATTTGCTCGTGGCTATATCACATAAGGCATAATGTTAGTAGCAGAAATTTGAGTACCTGGCTTGCACACTTATAGACAATATATGCACCTGTGTTATTCTGCATGCTTTATTTTGGTACACACAGGTCAGTTTTTGGACTTCCTGACATCTCATCATGTAAATATCTCCAAGTCAGACGAAGGATGAAAGCACAACTCTTCGTAGCATTTTTACTTTCTTTGGCCACCAACCCAAGCAATGTTATGAAATGCCTTCTACCCTTTATGTTCTCTTTTAACCAGCGGTGAGACATTTGGAGGCGGGCGTGAGGAATGGCAACGCCCCCTCACGGTGTTGGCGCTTTTTCACCGCCCCAATGTGTCGCTGATGCTTTTAAGCAAATAGCCCTCTCTCCATCCATCACAACCAAATATGCATAGCTGTATAACAGTTGTCCCCTTGTACGACGGCAGGAGAGGGCAAAGTATAATATTTGGACCAAATGCTGTACACATTAAGTTTCAACAGAGTTTTGACAGGTTGCTTCAGTCATCTGCTCCTGTTTTATATTATTTTGTTGGAGGGTGTTAGGTGTATAAATTGGATAGTACCCTCAGATTTAGAAATAACCATTTGCCTGGGAAAACTGTGATATGGAAGAGCTGCCTTCAGAAGAGACCATCAGGGAAGCAAGCCTTTTAAATGGGAAGAGAGTTGGTTCTTTCTCTCTTGTAAACTGTCAGAAATGACCAACAAAAGCCAAGCCGGCTAGGACAAAAAATTATTATGTGGGCCAGCAACAATTTGTCATTTTCTTTGCAATAGTGATGAAATCAAGCACCTCTAGGGAAGATTCTCCACCCACTTTTGGCAAGGCCCTGTACCCAGAGAGGAACGCGCCCACTGTTAAGATACTCTTGCATCAGTGAATTCCCACGACACCATCGTGTTATGTAAAAACTGGGCAAGGCTCTTTTGAATGACAGTTGGGGACGCCCAATTAGGTCCAGCAGAATCTCGAAAGGGAACAAAGCGGGAAGCTTTTGAGGAGCTGATTTAATCCATTCTAGACAACAGTGAAAAAACGGGAACACAAATTATTTTTTTGTTTTAGCTGTTTGTTAATGTACCTTTGTAGCTCGTTCAGTCCCCTGGCTGTGGATGGGCTAGGGTTCAGCCTTAGGAAGTTTTGCTTCAGATTGAGATGAGTGAGGTCCTGGCTATAGAAGAGGTTGGCAGGGAGATCCTCCAGGCTGCAACATGAGAGATCCACTGAGCTTATTCGCTGCGATGCAATCTACAACGAAACAAGGAACCACAACATTAAAATCAACGAAACACGAGCATTTGGCTTCTTGCTTGACCTGGGGCACTTCCTGTTGTAGTGTTATCTACTATATCTTAATGGAATACCTGTTTATGTGAGTGAGTGAGTGAGTGAGTGAGTGAGTGAGTGAGTCAGTCAGTCAGTCAGTCAGTCAGTCAGTCAGTCTGTGTGTGGTAAGCCCATGAATATAGTAATTGGTCACCCCAATTCACGCATCACGAATACAGTACATTTTACAAAAACATGCCCCCAGGGCCTGGAGAGTCCTCTAAACCAGTGGCTCCCAACCTTTTAGTTATGGCAACCCACAAGTCCAAATTTATTTACTATTGTGACCCATCAATTTTCGCTTGCATTTTAGCTGCAATTTTGCCTATGCACATTCAAGCAAAAATTTGCGCAACTCTCCTATTAATGTGGAATTTGTTGAAAGATGTCAGAGTGCCTGTGCATCAGAGGCAAAGCTGTAAGAATCACTCAAAACAACTCCCTGTATGAGCACCTTAGGGCAAACCATCACTGGATCTGCCACGAATTGGTCAGAGAGCACTTCCCAAGTGTTAAGATGCAAGACTCAGGCTTTTCTGATATTCGGTTACAAGTTTCAACAAAGTGTTATTTTTTGTTGTTGGCATATTATAAGAGTTGTCCATCATACCAGCACATCACATCGGTTAAAAAAAACCAAACCATTCTGTTTATTTATAAAGCCCACGACCCACTTGCCCAGGCAATGTGACCTACAGGTTGAGAAACTCTGCTTTAAACCTCAGAGAAGGAAGAATGCAGAGTCAGGAAAGGTATACTTCCCCCTTTTTCTTTCCTTCCCCCAAATATCATTATTTTAGATTTCTAGCCTGTCTCTCAGGGTGAAAGAGAAACCTGGTGAAGAGGGAATATTCAGGGCAAAATAACAGAATCTTCACATACTAGCTGGTTAACTTACTAATTGCTGGACGCCTACAAGTTAGGATACAAGGATTCCATTCTCTGTGCATAATGCAAATACTGATCCAGAGAAAAAGGCTATTTCGGGAAGGTCAGCAGAGTATGTCCTGACTGGGGGGAAAGGAAACAAAGGCAGAAAAAGATAGCCCACCATGCTTACCCCCATCGCAAGGTTATACAGATCTTTCAGCTATTCATTCCAGCACCAAATAAAGCCATGCTGCTCACTTGACGTTTTTACTGCGGCGGCTTTTTAAAACCTCAGCTAAGAATATAATCAAACGAATCATCTAAATTGGACAGAAATGAAAAGGCGAAGTAATACTAATGGCTTTGCAAGCCGTACCCAGGGAAAACAGGCGGGAGTTCATTGCTCTGGAGAACTTAATGGCTGAACATTGGCAGTGAGAGAGGCTGGCTGGGTTTGACTGGGTTATTTGAAAAACAAAGATTCCCGAGAAGAGAAAACTTAATCCAAACTGCCCAAGTTAGAGAGGCATGGTCACAGGAACACTGGGCTCTAATATAGGGTATTTCAAGCACTTTTATATGCTTTATCCTGGTAATTCTCACAATAGATAGCAATGTGAATCAGGTCAACCTTAGTATTCCCACACTTTAAAGGAGGGTCTCAGAAGAGAGGTGGTGGCTTGATTCAGGTCTGTCTAGTAATAAATAATAATAAATAAATAATAATAATAATAATAATAATAATAATAATAATAATAATAATTTATACCCCGCCCATCTGGCTGGGTTTCCCCAGCCACTCTGGGTGGCTTCCAACAAAATATTAAAATACAATAGTCCATCAAACATTATGAGCTTCCCTAAACAGGGCTGCCTTCAGATGTCTTCTAAAAGTCTGGAAGTTGTTGTTCTCTTTGACATCTGGTGGGAGGGCATTCCACAGGGCGGGTGCCACTACCAAGAAGGCCCTTTTGTCTGGTTCCCTGTAACTTGGCTTCTTGCAGTGAGGGAACCGCCAGAAGGCCCTCGGCGCTGGACCTCAGTGTCCAGGCAGAACGGTGGGGGTGGAGACGCTCCTTCAGGTATACTGGACCAAGGCCGTTTAGGGCTTTAAAGGTCAGCACCAACACTTTGAATTGTGCTCGGAAACGTACTGTAATCCTGGTCCGATAAATCATACTTATTTCAGAACAGGGCCAAGGAATTCATGACTCAGGAGATCGGAACCAGATTCTTTCTGGCTCTTGGCGACTTACACCGTACTACATAAGCTTTCAAGTTACTGAGGTAGGGAGGTGGGACACTTCTACCCATTTATGGAGCAGTTGATGAAAGGAAAACCGTTCTCATTTTAGCTCCAAGGAAAAAGCAAGCAAGCAAGAACAAGAATTCAAATTTCTTAAGGACATTCCCCACCAGTATAGAGAATTTTCACACCTCACACACTAAAAAGGCCCTATTTGAGTGTATGAATGAATGTTGTGAGATGATGGTCCCAACTGGGACTGGGAAGCAAGATAAAAACCAAAACAGAACAAAGGTTAGAAAGCAGAAGGCACAGCGCCTTTCAAGTCAAATACATGTTCCAGCCAATGCACATTTTCCATTTGGCAAAGAGATAGCGGAATACGCATGGGAAATCAAAAAGTGTGATTGCACAAGCAACACAGTTGAGCATTAATTTTGGGGCATGGGTATTATTGGGTTGTGGTTTTTATAGTCATTTTTATGTTGATCTTTTCTGTGAACCGCCCTGAGACCTCTGGGTATAGGGCGGTATACAAAATTCAATAAATACATAATAAAAATAAAATAATTTATTTTGCACTTTTCAAAAGCTGCGCTCATATTTAACCACCATCAATGAAAATTTGCTCTGCACAAAGCTACATACTATTTGCGTATCACTCAGAAGGCAGCAGCTGAAAGCCCCACTTAGAAGCCAATTCTAGAGTTTTAACACGGGCAGGAATTACGTGAAATGGGAAAGACGAATCTTCTTTGCTAGCCAACAAAACACAGCAGGGGGTGTGAACTAGCGTTTAAGGTATGGGTACGCAAACTAAGGCCCAGGGGCCAGATCTGGCCCAATCGCCTTTTGAATCTGGTCTGTGGACGGTCCAGGAATCAGCATGTTTTTACATGAATGTGTCCTTTTATTTAAAATGCATCTCTGGGTTATTTGTGGGGCATAGGAATTTGTTCATATATTTTTTTTCCGAAATATAGTCCGGCCCCCCACAAGGTCTGAGGGACAGTGGACCACCCCCTGCTGAAAAAGTTTGCTTAAACACAAGAGAATCCTTCTGCTAAAAATGGTACCTGCCACCCCTGGTTTTTGGTAAGCACTGCCGTTTTGTTTTGTCTTTTAAAGTGCTGCCTAAGCAGACAGCGCTTTTGAATTTATAAACGAGGGTTTAAAAACAGTTAATCTAACAAATGAACTTGCTCGGTTTTCGGACCCATGCGCCCATTTGGAAATCTGTCATTGGCATCGCAAAATACCAATTAACAAGAGGAAAAACTGGGGATTTTCAGCTCCCCACCCCCACCCCGACACCACTGCTATTCCAAACAGGAAATACATTTACGCATACTATAAACCAAATGAAACTCAAGCAATGTTCCAGCTAAACATCAGGAAAAACTTTCTGGCGGTAAGAGCTTTTTGACAGAGGAACGGTCTCCCTCGGGTGGTTGTGGACTCTCCTTCCTAGGAGGTTTGTAAGCAGAGGTTGGATGGCCATCTGTCATGGATGCTTTAGTTGAGATCCCTGCATTGCAGGGGGTTGGACTAGATGACCCTCAGAGTCCCTTCCAACTCTGTCATCCTTTGATTCAAATGTACAAAAACAGGCTACCCCCTCAGAATAAGCCATTGATTAAAGCCGTGAGAGCTGGACCATAAAGAAGGCTGATCGCTGAAGAATTGATGCTTTTGAATTATGGTTCTGGAGGAGACTCTATGAGAGTCCCATGGACTGCAAGAAGATCCAACCTATCCATTCTTAAGGAAATCAGCCCTGAGTGCTCACTGGAAGGACAGAGTGTCTGAAGCTAAGGCTCCAATACTTTGGCCACCTCATGAGAAGAGAAGACTCCATGAAAAAGACCCTGATGTTGGGAAAGATGGAGGGCACAAGGAGAAGGGGACGACAGAGGACGAGTTGGTTGGATAGTGTTCTCGAAGCTACCAGCATGAGTTTGACCAAACTGCGGGAGGCAGTGGAAGACAGGAGTGTCTGGCGTGCTCTGGTCCATGGGGTCACGAAGAGTCGGACACAACTAAACGACTAAACAACAACAACAAAAATTTTAAAAAATTGGGAGGGGCAGGGAATCTTGGTTGGAGCAAAAAGAGATGACTAGTGGCCCTACAGGCAACAAAGCCAAACTTTGAGTGGTACCTTTTCATGGGGGAGAAGGATTCCTCCTGCCCCCACAACCACTTTGGAGCAGGAAGGCAGGCTCAACCATTTCCAAGCAGGTGAAACATTGCCAACCACGGTGGTCCAAAGGTGTATTTCTAAAACTACAGGAAATCTGCGTATTATGAGCACCTGGGTGGAGCACTGGCAACTGTGTGGGTCCCATTCCTAATAAAATAATGCCGGTAAATTCTGTACGAGAAGTAAAGATGAATTCAAGAAAGCAAGATATGCCATGCAAGTCTGATAGCAGAAAGAGGAAGCAATTGAAGCATGTTCTATTGCTAGCTTGCACTCTAAAGTGCAGAGTCTTGTAAATCATCATTATTTGAAAACCACTTGCTGTTCACCCACAGAAAGACAAAGTCATAACCACATCCTCTCTAGATAATTTCTGGGTACCGAGAATTATTTTGAGGACGGTGGCAAACTAAAAGCTATCCCGCCAGCACAGAAGTAACTCCATCTCTAGTCATAAATCTCACGTGACAAATCCAAGTTTCTTTGTATGGCATGTAGAAGCACCAAAACAGGACAGGGAAGTGGGGCACACTTCATCTTTCCAGAACAATACAGGTGGGGGGGGGGGAGAAGGTTTAGAGTCCAGTTGGTAGAGCATGAGAC